GAAGAGCGTGAAAATAATGTAATAAAGAACATTAACAACATAAAATAGCTTAAAAGTAATGTAATAAATTAAGAATATTAAAAGTGTAGAAATTTGGTATCGAAAAATAAGTTAAAACACATTATTATATGGCTGCATGTTTTTTTTTTCTAATTTTTTTTTCAGTCGTTTGTTATAATATTATGCTGAAAAATTCTTGTAACAATATGCTTTTTACTATATATTTTAAATACTCTCCACATACTGTTAACCGAAATTTAATAAAAATCATAATAGTTTTTTCTAGTCTCACTTCTCAAATAATGAGTTTTTTTTTTCTTCTAATTTTATTATTTCCTATAAATTAAAAGTAATAATAAAACATGTTAAAAATAATATGTTAGAGTGAGGTTGTAATATTCCATATTCATTGAAGATTCGACTTGTGACTGTGCCACATCTTAGTCATGTTACTCGTTCCCACGTATATGGCTGTGGCACGTTACTGTTAAATATTATTATTTCAAGTGCTTGCCAAAAGTCATGATATGAATAAGTAGATAGGAAATAGAATAATGCTTTAGTTTAATATTAAACCCTATAATGATTATCATAGATATAACACAATCTCTCTCCTTTTGTTTAACCCACATTCGAATGCTTATTTGCTTGTATGTCACTTTCTTTACCGCCCTGTTTATGTTTATTAATTAATAGTAACGTTTAAATATGCTAAAGCCAATATACACATTTTCTTTATTTTTAATTGGGGCAGAATATTTAGGATCAGATAGCGATATATGTATATATATTTTTTCTTTCATGAAACGTAAATTGCAATCAGTGAGTGTTAAAATTTGCATATATTCTGTCCTCCCACTGGTCTACATCTGGAACTGGAATATTGGTTTGATTTCTCAGAAAAGAAATTCTGATATATGTTATGATTGACCGCGCACACATATATAACAGGAATAGAATTGCGTGTGAACTGTGAAGTAATGCGAATTTAAAAAATTATATTGAATTTCATAATTTTGTGAAAAACCAAAAAGTTATTCCGGATGCATCTCAAGAGATCCAACACTTGCTTGATGATAATTTGTTAACGTTACTGTCAGGAATGGAATCAACTACATATATAGAGATATATGGTAATAATTGGGTGGAGAGATTTATTTGATATAATTTTGATTTGATTTGTCTAACAGGTACCTGCCACCATACACAACATATTTACCTGTAAATAGAGAGAAGGAAAATGATGTGAAGAGAAAGGAAAAAAGCATAGTGGAGTGTGTTGTAATGTCCCAACTCTCATACTTGGTTATTTTCATTATTTTGATTTGCATAACTGAGAGCAAAAGCTTAAAAGAGGATCCCCTCAACTTTAATGTCTTGAACATCACCCTAGAAGTCATCAGGCAAGTAAATATTTATTTTACATTCAATTCGTTCGTTGCATATATATTATGTTAATACACACACACGTGTCGCACATACATGTGTACAAAAGACCAACCTTACTTTTTATGCAAATTAAGGAAAACTATATATAATGTGCAGTGCTTATGGGAATGTGGGGTTCTCAACGGGATATAGCTGCGCAAGGCAATTGAAACCAAATGGTATGTGCAAAGATTCATGGGTTGGATTTTCCGGTAGATGGAGTAACAAAGGCAAGTTCATCCTTATCTTGGTCATGTTCTTTGGGAGGCTCAAGAAATTCAACATGAAAGGTGGCAAAGCATGGAATCTCTCGTGGCATATGTAATAATAAGCTTGATTCACAATGTATGTAAAACAGAAAAAAGAGCATTCTTAAGTTTCAGGCAGCTGTGAGAAATTTAGTATCCACTCTCACCAAAAATTTATTCAGACAGTGAAAAAGCTAACACAGAGATGTTTTCCCCATGGGGCTGAAATCTAAGCATGACTGATAGACCCTTGAGGACAATATCAGTTTAATGCTAATAGTATTTGGTGATTTTTTTTAATATCCGTGAAGACTAATAAGTAACATTTGGTGAAGAATTTTGAAGTCCAAAGTCGGGGCAACAGCAAAAAATGCCAAAATGAGTAGAGAGATTGCTTGATCCGAACCAAGCAATCCTATCTAGTGAGTGGTGGTGATTGTGTGTACATGTGCGATAAACGAGTAAACAAATCTGCCCTTTTTTAACAACTCATTTGCCCCAATTATTACTTTTGCAAATTAGATAAAATTTGAATCCCAATTCAATTGTGTCCTGTACACGTGCTAAAATCTAAACAAAATAGTCTGGAGAGGTGTTGCATTGGAAATCACAAATTGGAAGTTACAAAAATTTGACAGTTTAGTGATACAGAATGGTTTAATCCATTCCTTTATCGCAAAACAAAAATACAGGAAAAAAATTGTAATTGGTCACTAAAATTTGATCGTCATCATAATCATAACAATAACAAGAGTATTTGGCAATTGATCACCATACCTATGGTGATTTTTTTTTGAGGCGTCTAACGATTTGGTCGAAGAAAAGGACGTGGCAATGCAAAACGAGAACAGCTTTGCTTTACCTCGGATATGTCGAAGAGATCCATAAAAACAGGCAAGTTGACAAATCAGGCATGAACCCACTTAACCGCGCAATCGCACCAACAATTTCTTCATATCACCAATGTACGCAACAAACAAAGTCAAAAAGTCTATTAAAGATATAATAAGAAAATTATATATAACGATTTGACTGACCATAACACTTGCTATGATTCATTTACTACATATTAGAAAAATAAACATGTATTAGACTGAGGATTTATCGTCCAGCTAATAAATAATATCATGTACATGTACTATATACAAAATATAATATTAAGTATAAAATAAACTTAAGTGAATGGGTGTTTATTTAAGGTCTAACTACATCAGAGTAAACTTCAACAAAATTTAGTTATCTTTGGCGTGATTTGGTCTTGTAACACCTTTTTCTAATTTTTTTCTAAAATTTTAGAGTTATGAATTTATAAAATTCATTTCTCAAAATTCGTTTTATATACTTTACTCTTCTCTGGACTCATGCTACTATAGCAATAACTTACATAAGATACTCTTCCTTCACTCATAGGAATGAGAAATATGTTAAATGTGAAAATTTAATAAAACATACTCCTGAACACAAATTTTTTTCATAACCTTATAACAAACATGATAATAAATATTTTTACATTCATATTCTCAAGAATAGGAAAAAATTACTTAAAATAGATACTTTAAAAGCCTGTTTAGTTCAAATGAGGGGAAGAGCAGAAAATTTTTTAATGAAAGGGAATGGAAAGTAATAGATGAGATGAAGGAATGAGTTACAAATTTTGTTTAGTTTAGGGTAGGAAAATATAAATAAAAATATTTTAGACATTATACTACAAATATTTTAAAATTTCTCTCTCTTCCAATTCCCCTCAATATTATAGAGGGACTAAAATTGGGTTAAAATTTTTTGCTTCCCATCTTAATTTCTTAAAATTTTAATCAAATAAAACAAATTTAAAACAATCTATTTCTTCCCTCTTCATTTCTCTCCGATCAAACACCACGTAAAACAAATGCCTCCTAAATATAACTAAACTTTTGCCCAATATATTGATGTGTCATTACATATTAACTAAATCATATATATATATATATATATTTCAGTAATTTATATTTTACATCAAATTCCAATGATCCAACTGTTGAATTTAAAGTTTTTAATGCATATATCAAGTTTGCAAATATTAAAAAAAATTTGAAAATTATTTGATACTTCATTTCATTAATTCAAATTGATGGATAATCATAAAATCATTTTATACATTGATTTTAATTAATGAAAAAAACTATCAAATGATTTTCAATTTTTTTTTAAAAAAATTTACAGATTTAATCTATGCATTAAGAACTTTAAATTCAACGATTGGATAATTAAAATTTGATGTAAAACATGAGTTATTGAACATAGTAAACAGATCCCTCCTTATATATATATATATAAATAAATAAAAGGAGAGATTCGTTTACTCTAAGAGTAAGTCTATATAGATTTATTACATTCAATAATTCATATTTTACATCAAATTTTAACGATCCAATAATTGAATTTGAAATTCTTAAAACATAAATTAAGTATACAAAATTTTAAAAACTTTGAAGCTCATTTACTTATTAGATTGTTAAAATTTGATATAAAACGTGAGTTATAAAATAGATTTATTCCTAAAATAAATTAATCCCTCCTTAAAAAAAATATTATCGAAAACAAGTGCTATTTCTATATTTATCACGACTTTTCTTGACTTTATTTATATGAGAAACGTCTATAATGCACGATGCATATCAAACATGAGAAGTTATTATATATTATCCTTTTAAAGGAATTGGGAGAGGTTCCGAATTCTCTATAAAGCCAGTTTCTTTTAAAAGAACAAAAATACAAAGATTTTGTGATCATATACTGTACTGGAGAGACCGTATTGGTCACGTGGGTCAACACGTGCCATTTCGTCAGACACTCATGCATAGTATGTCACGTACAAGCATTACTATCAACGTCGGCTCGGCATGAGGTCGAGAGCCGACATCAGTCTGGTTAATGCCAATATGGACCATCATCACTCATCGAGTCAGCTCGGTCAAGTACCGTTCCGACATAGGTCAACCGGAAGTATACAAGCTGCCGAATACAGACTAGCCGGCTCGGTCATTTGCCGTTCCGACTAGTATTGAATAGTCGGCTCGGCCTCTTGCCGAAGGGTTAAACAAGTTATAACAGTAATCACAATTAAGAAAGGTAAGTACATGATTAAAGCCTAACAACCAATTAGTACGGTATTACCTAATTTGGAAAATATCTGAGAGGGCCCATCACGCTCAGGCCCATGTCAGATACTATAAATAGGTCATACATAACAAGGTATGTCACTGTTCATTATTTTACCCTAGATATTGTGCGTATACTAACTTGAGCGTCGGAGTGCCTTTTGCAAGTACCTCCCCCCTCTTTGGAAGACGGTTGGAGCTCTCATTCGGTCCACTCTCACCCATGAAGAACAAGAGTGTACCCTTAGACAGGTACATATACTATACATGTCACTTTCTTTTGTCAAATTAGATGTGTTTTTACATGTTAAGAGTAGCGGTGAAAATTAGGTTAGATAAAGTTAAGTGGAGTTTACTCTGACCTGTTTTAATCATTTTTTAAGGTTGAAATCTAATTTATTAGTGTTGGTGTTCACTTAAAAAAATTTGAAGTGTTGGATAACTTAAACTTTTTTTTAAGTTGGCTAAATTTCAATCTCAATGTAAGACCGTTTTACTCAATAAAAACTTAAAATTAAAAAACTTTTATGTGATCAAATTTTAAGAATTTTAAATTAAGGGAAATTCAAGTTAGATAGCCAAATCAAAACAACTAATGTTGACAAGATTTCAATTTTGTTAATTTGCACTTCTTTTTTACTTTGGATTTTTTCTCGTGTCAAGTATAATAATTATAGATAATAATTTTTTTTCTTCTAAATACTTAATGTAATTATATACTTAAATTTCAAAATAGAAATTAGTGATTAAGTTGAATCATGTAACTGGTGGATGTTTGAAATTGTATAAATATATCATATTATATATATATATATATATATATATATATATTATATAAATAAAAGCAAGTCTATTTAAATTTAATTCACTCAATAATTTATGTTTTACATTAAATTTTAACAATCTAACCGTTAAATTAAAAGTTATTAATGCATAGATCAAGTTTAATTTGCCTAAAAAAAAAGAAGATAAAGTTTAATTCTTTTTTTAAATTTGAAAACTATTTGATATTTTGTTTCATTAATTCAAATTAATGTATAAAATATTTTTATGATTATCTGTCAACTTAAATTAATAAAAAAGATTATCAAATAGTTTTTAAATTTTTTAAAAATTTACAAACTTGATTTATGCATTAAATTTGTTTAATTTAATAGTTTAATTATTAAAATTTAATGTAAAAACATGAGTTATTCAGTGGAATAAGTTTTGGTAGTCTTATTCTTGAAGTATGTGGAATCTTCTTTTCTCTCTCTCTCTCCTTTCTCTCTCTCTCTCTCTCTCTCTCTCTCCCTA